TGTCTATCTATATATGTATATGTATGTATGTGCGAGTTGTGTGTGGTGTGTGGTGTGTGTGTGTGTGTGTGTGTGTGTGTGTGTGTGTGTGTGTGTGTGTGTGTGTGTGTGTGTGTGTGTGTGTGTGTGTGTTTGTGCGTGCGTGCGTGTGTGTGTGCGTGTTGTGTGTGCGTGTGTGTATGTTTACGTGCATGTGTGTTTGAGCACGTCTAAATCCAATCAAACAATCCTCCTTTCATTCCCTATGGATATTAGGAAAATAAAAAAAAAACTAAAAAACAAAACAGAAAGAGAGCCGGAAGTAGGAGGACGAGAGCGAGAACGAGAGAGAAAGAACCGGAGAAAGAGAGAAAAAAAAAGGAAAATTGATACCTGTTCGGTACTTCGCTGCTTTCTCTATCCTGTCCACTCTCTCTGGGCCTCACCAAAGGCGGTCGTTATTGCCAAGATAGCAACAGAGACACACAGGATATTGCTAACAAGTTCCATGGCTTTAAGATGGCTTGATCTGTTATTGCAATCACGTTTATATGACGTCAGTATCATTTTGATGAGGGAGAGCTTGCAACTACGCTTGTTTTAGCAAGTCATGTTTTTTTGTCTTCTTTTTAAACTATTTTGCAACACAGATAATTGACAAAATATACCAGTATCTTTTTTTTTTTTATGTCGGAGATACTGCATCTACGCCTCTAATGTAGCTAGTCATATGTCATGTCAATATATATATTTTCTTTTTAAACTATTTTGCAACACAGATAATTGACAAAACAAACCAGTAGCATTTTGATGTAAGAGAGACTGCATATGTGGTTCAATTTTAGCAAATCGTATGTCATTTTAAGAACTTTCTTCTCTTTTTAAACTATTTTCCGACAAATATTGACAAACTAAACCAGATAATCATAACTAAATTTTAAAAAAGACCACGAGAACTCAAGCATAGTAGAAGAATGACTTTTTTACCATCGATAAATTAAACCGTTATCATACTACTACGACCATTGACAGCTTCCAGAATGTTACTACTACAACCATCCTCAATTCTCATGCTTTGTTATTACAACTGCCATTCATGACTTTCCCAGAGACAAGCACGTAGACCACAAATAATCTGTAAGTGTTGTTAACGGTAAATCCCACGTTTTCATAAGTACTCGAGAAGCTTAGACACCAAACACTTCAAAGAAAACGGACTATAAACACATGTAAAGGGAGACTGCACAAAAGTGAGATTATAAGTCGCTAAATTTGATGATAAGAAGGATTATATGAAGAAACGTGCAAGTAGAATTTCGTTATTCAAATTCTTATTTTTTCGTCCTTGTTCTGTGATGTTAGAGTATGCAAAAAGAAATAAACAGTGCGAGATAGAGATTGACAGATAGACAGAGCGCGCGCAAGAGAGAGAGAGAGAGAGAAGAGAGAGAAGAGAGGAGAGAAGAGAAAGAGGAGAGAGAAGAGAGAGAAGAGGAGAAGAGAGAGAGAGAGAGAGAGAGAGAAGAGAGAAAATAGAGAGATATGAATAGATAGAGCGAGATAAAAAAAAAATAGACTGAACGAGAGAAATAAAGAAAGATGGATAGACAGATAGATAAAGAGACAGTCTAGATGAATAGATAGATAGAGTTCTGTCTACCATATCACACCCATCATGATCCCAGAAGAGAAACGCCCTTCCCTGGCTTAGATTACCCCTCCCCCTCCCCCACCTCCCCTCGATATCTTTCTATATGTTCGATTGATTTGTTCTGTTTATTTGTTTTTCATCTATCTATTTATTATTTTATTACTGGTTAATGAGTATTGAACGCTTTTATGTGCATTTTATAGACTAGATTAGGTATAATATGATAATATTATAGTGTGAACTAAAGATATAAGGTATATGGTGCATAGAGATAGAAAGAAAGATGAATAGAGAAATAGATAGATACAGATATATGGATATGTGTGTGTAAAGGAAGAATCTACATACCTTCTTCCACACGGACATACATTTTCTTCAGTCATTTCCTTATGTATCTTTTTCGTCGATCATTTCCCTATGTATCCCTTTCGTCAATCACTATGTACCTGTTTCGCCAATCATTTCTCTATGCATCTATTTCGTCGATCATTTCTTTATGTATCTCTTTCGTCAATCATTTATCTATGCTTCGCTTAGCTAATCATTTCTCTATGTACCTATTACGTCAATCATTTCTCTATACATCTCCTTCGTCAATCATTTCTCTATGTATCTCTTTCGTCAATCATTTCTTATGTCAATCATTTCTCTATGCTTCGTTTAGCCAATCATTTCTCTATGCATCTATTTCGTCAATCATTTCTTTATGTTTCGTTTAGCCAATCGATTCCTTATGTATCTGTTTCGCTAATCATTTCTCCATGTATCTGTTTAGCCAATTATTTCCCTATGTATCTCTTTCATCAATCGATTCCCTATGTATTTGTTTATCCAATCATTTCTCTGTTTATCTGTTTCGTCAATCATTTCTCTATGCATTCTTTCGTCAATAATTCATCTTTGTTTCTTTTCGCCAATCGATTCCCTGGCATCTCTTCATCAACCGATTCCCTATGTATTTATCCATCGTTTCTCTGTTTACCTGTTTCGTCAATCATTTCTCTATGCATAAGTTTCGTCAGTCATCTCTCTATGTATATCTTTCATTCCCCTATGCATCTCTTTCGTCAACCATTCCCCTATGCATCTATTTCGTCATTCCTACATCTATTTCAACCATTATCCCTATGCATCTCCTTCATCAAACCATTCCCCTATGCATCTCTTTCATCAACCATTTCTCTACCCTTTATTTTCCAAGTTTCCCCTATGCATCAACCATTTCCCTATGCATCTATTTCGTCAACCATTTCTCTACCCTCTATTTCGCCAACCATTTCCCTATCCATCTATTTCATCAACCATTTCTCTACCCTCTATTTCCCAAGTCTTCCCCCAGCCGGCCGCCCCTTCTCGTGCGCATCCTCACCTTCCTCTGTCTTACAGGTGTACCACAATTGTCTCTTCGGGCAGCGCTACGACTTCCTGTGCGCTAATTACACGGTGTTCGACCAGAAGAACTTCATTTGCCATTATGTGAGTGAAGTGGACTGCGTCAACTCGGCGAAACATTATGACAGGTTGGTATACTGTTCGAGAGGGTTGGTGTTGATAAAGGGCGTTAGGATCTGTGTGTATGTTTGTTCGAAGCGTTTTGGCATGGATAGATGTACGTGTGTACATAAATACATACACACACATACACGTACAAATACATGCAAACTTACCTTTACACACACACACACACGCACAAGTACATGCAAACTTACTCTTACACACACATACACAGACACACTCACACACATTGAATAATGTTACTACTGTCATTTCTGTTACTGTTATTATGATTATGATCATGAAGTATGAAATATTGATGATAATGAAGTTTACATGGAGACCTATCTGTCTGTTAATCTTTGTTTATCACCTTATACTAACTTTTTTTTTTGTCTATCTGCTCTCTCTCTCTCTCTCTCTCTCTCTCTCTCTCTCTCTCTCTCTCTCTCTCTCTCTCTCTCTCTCTCTCTCTCTCTCTCTCTCTCTCTCTCAAAAGATACATATTAAGGCATCATTATATTAACCACACGCCAGAACATCTGAACCGCCGTCTAACTCCGACTTTCTCTTCCAGGAACGACGAGCTCTACGAGACGACGACCACGACGACCACCACGCCGCCGCCGCCGCAGATCATCTACGTGGAGCGCCCCCGCCCGCTGGCCAACCGCCTGCGCCCCAACATGAACCGCCCGCAGCGCCCCACTGGCCCTCGCCCCGGCAAGCGCCCAAAGCCGCCCACACCACCACGCCCGCGCCCGAGTACGACTACGACTACTACTACGACCAGTACTATGATCAGTACTATGACGACTACTACAACGACTACGCCAACGAGAGGACGACCACCACCACCACCACCACGACCCAGAGGCCGCGTCGTCCCCTCCGGCCGCAGAGGACCCGCCTGGGCAACCGCAACAACGTGGAGGAGCGGTCGCGCCCCTCGGGACGCTTCGGGGGCGTGTTCAACGTGAGGGACCGCAAGCGCGCCCCATCAACCGCCCCAGGACGCCGCCGAGGAGGAGTTCCGCCCCAGGGCCTCCCGCCTGCAGCAGGACGGCCCCCAGAGGCGCCAGAACCAGAATGACGACGGGCCAGGCCAGGGCCCCAGACCCCAGGGCTCAGGGCAGCGTCGTCGTCGCCCACGACCTTCCAAGAAGACCACCACTTCCACCACCACCACCACGGAGGCTGCCCCCGATTACTACTACGACGACTACTACGAGTATTACGACGACGAGCCCTCGTCAACCACCACCACCACGACCACCGCCGCGCCGGCCCGCCAGTCCCGGCCGAGGCAGGGCTCGAGGGGCAGACCCAGGCGGCCAGCGGACGCCCTCACCACCACGACCCCCCGGAGTTCTCGGGAGGCCGCGACTCCCGCCCGGGACGCCTCAACGTCAGAAAGAGCCCCGTCGCCGGCCGCCGCCCCGCCCGCAGCGCCCCAGGAGGCCTCCCCTGCACCCCAGCGCAGAAGACCGAGCTTCCCCCGACGTCGGCAGCAGAGCGAGCCCGAGGTGGTGGTCGAGGACGCCCCCCTGGCGCCTGGGATCTCGGCGGCCCCCGAGGAGGACTACGCAGACGCGAGCCCCGACGTGGCACCGTCAGGAGGAGCCCGGAGACGACCCGGACTGAGAAGGCCCATCAGGCGGGGGTCAGGTGTGCGCGGGGGCGGCGCTCCTCAGAGCTCCAGCCCGGACTACTACGACTACTAGCACCTGATATTTATTGTGTACAGCCACTACCTTCTCCTTGTTTTGTATATTAGTTGTATTTGTTTATAAGTATAAATCTTTTAATAAACAACCGTTCTTAAGTTTTTTTTTCTTTATTACCCCGCAGTGTGACGTTCGTAAGAAGGTCTAGATATATGAGGAATCTGTCTACTTATCTATCTATTTATCTATCCATCTATCTATCTATCTATTTCCAGAGAAGGAATGGGAAGGGATTTCTATAGACAGAGGATTCATGGATAGACAGATCCTTAAGACGACTGATTGATAATTAATTCAATAACCAATTATCATGATTATTCCCAACTCTGTCGGTGATCGTGAAGGTTTTTTTTTCAATTATCATGACTTTAGGCCCGTAACAAATCATGATAGCAAATAACAAAGAATTTCGTAACAGTTCAGAAAATACGTTCTTTGAGTATCATAGTTGAATTAACGTACATACTTTCACAATAGGGTTTAAAGTAGTGTGACAAGGAAGAGACAAAATTACCCCATGAATAAATTTCCTTATGGTAACTGTTCAGAAATTATTTTGCCAATTATATAATAATAATAAAAAAATTCTGGTTATTAATTCTCGAACATTTGTATCAGGCTCTACCTTAGCGAGAGAAAAGGGACACTCAAACAATAGAGATGTACGTATGTGATATGAAATGCGCTTACGAAGAAATCTGGTATAGAATGAAACATGTAGCCGCTGCATTTACTTTCAAACAGTGTATTTATTGAATACTCAAACCTACAAACAATTTAAATACATGGTGGCATATTTTCTTCCATACTGACTTGCCACACGCAGACAAACAGACATCATCGACCGCGCACTCTTTGGATAGCTCCCGCACTCCATTCACCGAAAGCCAAGGCACTTTGCTTGTACTTTGCCTAAAATCTCGGCCCGCAGGTGACGTAGAAGTCGTCGGGCGTCAGGCCATCGCCCAGAATGGGGTCGACGTCAGCCACGTTGAAGACTGTCAGTGCCTGACTCTTCATGGCGTTTTGAGTGTCAGTCTCGTTGCAGGGTCCGGAGAAGTAGTATTCGGGGCCCTTGATGGGGGACTCGCCGTAAGCGCTGACGCAGTTGTAGATGAATTCGTAGGGGAACCAGCTGCCTGAAGTGGAACACAGGTAGTCGTTGGGCACGGTGAGTTCAGGCGACGAGACCTGGAAGTCGCCCTCCGCGCCACACATCGACACGCAGAAACGGCCGGAGTAGCTGTCGTGGCAGACGAGGGCGCCGAAGATGGGCAGGGAGAGGGAGTTGCAAGGGACGCCCCTCACCGTCACGCTGAAGGAGCAGGTGGCTGTGTTGGACGAGTTGTCATAGGCTGTGTAGATGACGTCGTGTCGGCCCCACGCCATGACCGAGGTGGGGTCATATGTGCTCTCCACCTGAAGACAAAAACAGTCACTACTTTAATTTCCTATTAAAACATGCATGAACACACTAACACACTATCAAGTATACAATATACCTTCTAGAGAGAACTTCCGTTTTGTTCCATGTCCTTCCCTGTATGTGAATATACACACGCATTGTAGAACACCACCTACTATCCACATAAACAAAAATACAATTCATATTCATCACACATTTTCTTCAGTCACCCTTACCTTCTTCATCACACATTTTCTTCAGTCACCCTTACCTTCGCGATGTATCCGGAATCGTCAGAGAAAATGGGTTCTGTCCAGCCTACCACAATGGGTGACGCGCTCTCGACAGTCTGGGAGTTCGGACACTCAATAACCGTGGGTGGGTTCAGGTCTGTTGGGGACAGAGTATGGGCGTTATGCGTTGTGGGGATTCGTGCTTGTGGGTGCCGGTTGGAAGGGGAAATTATCGCTGGTTGGTTGTAGGGTGAGATGTAGTAATGGGGGATATTGTGATTTGAAAGTATTTCAGTTTCAATCTCTCTCTCTTTTTCTCTCTCCCATTTTTTTCTCTAGTCCCCCCTCTCTGTATCTCTCTCTTTTTCTCCCTCCCTCCCTCCCTCCCACCCACCCTCCCTCCCTCCCTCCCTTTCTCCCCTTTCCCTTCCCTCCCTCCCTCCCTCCCTCCCTCCTTCCCACCCACCCACCCACCCTCCCCCACCCACCCTTCCTCATCCCTCTCACTCTCTCAAATCTCAGATCGCCCACCTACTTACCTCCGGAAGTAACAGTAATGGTGTAGCTGCAAGTGTTCACATTGAAGTTGTAATCCGTAGCAACGAATTTAACGTTGTAAGTTCCGGGAGAGATGGCAGCGGTCATAGTGGTGCCAGCCTGCTGCACGTCATCAACGAACAGCTGTAATCATAGAGCGAAAAGGTGCTAGATTTTGCTGTTTTAGGTGTGTATACGCATACGCACGCACGCACACACACGCACGCATTCACAAAACACACACACGCACACAACACACACAAACACACAAACACAAAACACACACACAAACACACACAAAACACACACACACACACACACACACACACACACAAAACACACACACATATTTGTACATATAAATGTGAGTTATGACCACAACACTAACGACAACAGCATCCCTCTCCTAGGAAGTACAACCTGCAAGACCAAAACCCCTTCGGCGCCTCCCACACCCACCTCGAGATCCCAAGC